ATTTTAGAAACAAGAATAGAAGTGGATATCTCAGCAAGGTAAGATAAACACTCTTCCTGATATCAAATCGATGTTTGAGATCGGCCGAAGGCCTTTGAGATCTATCAAAAAAATGATGAAGAACTCTCTCTTTATGATCAAAGTTCGCCGAAATCATCGTCTCTCTCTCTCTGAAATTCGTGGGTACTTGCTCTCAAATCTGCCTAAAACCTCCGTACCCATGTACAATGGTGCCAGGGGATATTTATAGCCCTTGGAAGCTATTATTGAGGATAAGAATTCAAAACTAACTAATCTGACGGATTTTCAGTTTGTAACGGCCTCTCCGCGTTTATGGATGTTCCTAAGTAGTTATGGAGCCACGTGGACCGTACGAAACTCGAGAAAACTATTGAAAAACGTGTCACACTATCTCACAATGGCCAAGATAGTGTTTCTTGTCTCATAGGCCGAGACACTCTACACTATCTCAGCCTACAAGACAGTGTATACTGTCTCACCAGTTGTGAGACACTTTCGAGTCCGTCATTTTGTTGTTTTGCGTACTTCTTCGCTTATTCTTACATCGTATGATCTTCCGCGACTTAGATGATGATGTTCTTTATCTTCTCTTCATCTGGAGCTGTGTTTGGGAACCTATAAGTAATTTTTGATGCCTACATCGGCATTCTGAAAGGACTGCAGAGATAAGTCGCTCGCATTGGCAGGCTAGAGTGACTTGTTGAATAGCTCTGTCTCTTGATAGGAACTCTCTCAAGTCTGTTACAGAGACTCGAGATGAGTTACTTAAAGTTCGTGAGGTTTTTCTTTGAACCCCCAGTCTTTGGCTGGATGGGACTGTTTCTTTATGGACATGGATTTGAAGTCCATGTCGGTCACCCTGAACGTGACTTGACACATTGTATTTAGTATTAATAACGCAAGAGTCAAGTTTTAACACTGAATCGCGAGGATCGCGTTTAGGTAACTGAATGTGAGGATCACGTTTGAGATCAGGGACGCGAGGGTCACGTACAACATCCCTTTGAACGTAAGGCTCGTGTTTTGACTGAGTAATGCGAAGTTGAGGTTCGCGTTCAACGCAGACTTAAGGTCCGTGTTTTAGCTGTGGAACACGTCCTTGAGGGTCACGTTTAGTCTGACTTTCATGAGGTTTGAGTTTGGGCACATAAACACGAGGCTCGCGTTCTTCAGTAGAAATGCGAAGCTCAGGGTCGTGTCTTGACTCACAAATGTGAAGTTCGTGCTGGTTGGTTGATCGGCTTTCTCTAAGTTGTGTTCGTCGTAGGGATCTTTGCCTTCGGCGAGCAGCATTCTTCTTCACCTGAGTTGAGGCTTTTGCAATGATGTTACCATTTGTATTGATCAGGTTAGTTGCAGCAATAGGTTTCTTGTGACCTGATACCTTTTGCTGAGGTACGGGTGGAAGGTCCTCAACTCGCTTAGCAAGTTCGGCTGAGTTAAAGTCTTCTCCTTTAGAGGGGGGACTATATGAACAGTACAACCCCAAGGAGAGACGCTCCCATGGTAAGTCCACGGTAAGAGTACGATTGGTTTCCTTAGAGACCTTACGGACCTTGTGCATAACCTTAGGGCTAAGGGATCCGGTAGAAAGGAGTTCCTCATACTTACTTTGGTTGAACTCCATAGTAAGAGTTTCCCGGCGATCTTGGTATCGAATTGCGCCACCACTTTCTCTTCTGTGAAAAAGGAAGTCTCTAGCGGAGTCGCCATCTTTTGTTTGTGAGAAAAAAATATAAGAAAACTGAGAAATAAATTAGTATTAACCTCCCTAACTAACTTAGGAAAAGAGTAATTACAATCTCTCAAAGTAATCCCTCTCTAACTGACTTAGAAAAAAATCACAACTTTCTTATCGGTTTCCCGATTTACAAAAGAGAGAAGAATCGATGAGGATCCTTCCCTTTGTTTAATGCTGAGTTCTTCTTGGTGGCGATGGGAGTTTGATTATTGTATCCCGTTGATGATCCGAGCACTTCGCTTCGTGGAATTTCGTGTTTGCTTCTTGGTTTTATGTCTTGGAAGAACTTGCAAGACAAGTTTAGAACTCTGTAAGAGAGTTAATTTCAGAAAGGAATTTCAATCCTTTTAACGGAAATAAGCCAATGGCTTTTCTCTCATCAATGCAATAGCGGATCTCAAATATAGCCAACCCAAATGATCCAAAACCACACCCTTTTTTAGTTGTAAAACTAGCTATTTATAGGGTTTAATGGGTGTAACTAACCCTTTAATTTGCTCCATAATGGGGGCTTAATCGCCCCATCATGTGGAGAACTATTTTAGAACCGTTCACATGATTTGAAACGGTCAAACCCGAAGTCCGCGAGGATCGACCTTCGCGAGGGTCGACCTCCGCGTTTAGTTGTTGAAACGCGAGGGTCAACCTTCGCGTTTTGGCTGATGAAACGCGAGGGTCGACCTTCGCGTTTTGTTGTTGAAACGCGAGGGTCGACATCCGTGTTTAGTTGCTGAAACGTGAGGGTCGACCTTCGTGTTTGGCTGATGAAACGCGAGGGTCGACCTCCGCATTTAGTTGTTGAAACGCGAGGGTTGACCTCCGTGTTTAGCGGTTGAAACGCGAGGGTCGACCTCCGCGCGTGAGGGTCGACCTCTGCGTGAGGCTGATGAAACGCGAGGGTCGACCTCCGCGTTTAGTTGTTGAAACACGAGGGTCGTGTTTGTCTTCGGAGACGTAAAGATCGTCAATTTGTAATCTCTGTGTCACCTCTGCATCAAGTCTTCTCAGAATACAAGGGCCGACATCATGTAACCCTTGTACTCTGGCTTCTAAAGATGTGAGAGTCATCAAATTGTAACTCTCGTCTGTTGTCTTGAAAGTCGTCAGATTGTAACTTTCATCGTTAATGTTTTGCAAGGATCAGCTATTTGCAGTAATTTTTAGACAGCCTACAGCTATATCTTGGTTGAGCTCGATATTATACTTTGATATCCGGTTACCCTATTGTGTGGCAATGTTAGTCCAACTTACATTACCGCCAATCCTATTTCATGACCGCGGCAACCACGTAAACATTTATTATCACTTTGTTGTAAACATTGATTATCACTTTGTTCGGGAACAAGTTGCTCATGATGGTTTAGTAGTTTGTTACGTTCCAATCCACCTGCAGCTCGCTGATATTTTTACAAAATGATTGTAAGCTCAGCGATTTCTTGTCTTAAAGTCCAATCTGTCTGTTGATCCCCTAGTGTATATGACAAGTTCTGTCATACATAGGGTTATATGTGTAATTGCATAATCCATCATTGAGTACAAATACAGTGATCAGCCCCTATCTTGGGCAAGCCGCATAAATTCACATTGATACCCTCCCTCAGTTTTTCTATCTCAACTTTCGCACCTATAATAGCCATCAATCACAATACATTATTCATAAAGTAATTTCAAAATCAGAGCAACAGTTAAATTTCATATAAATAGGGAGTGTTATTTGCAACATATAATCCATTTAATATGGCATGTTTTTAGGTAAAATTTAAAACATGGCAAATCTGTTTCATTAGAACTTCTGTTGCATGTCATTACCAAACCCAATTCATCAAATTGATCAATCATAATCTAATCAGACAATAACCCCCCGATTAAGTCCCAGAGATATAAAATGCATAAACATCATGATCTCATACTTCCACAAAATTATCAAATCACATCAGTTCCAATCTTAAAATAAAAATTGAGTAATCTGGTTTTTTTTTCTTTTTAAATATGGACGTTAAATAAAATAAGAATGCTAATTTTAATTACAGCGTACCTAATGAAATTTCCATTTCGACAGTTAGTTAATAAAATACCTAACTTTAAAAAAATTAAAGAAACAATTTGAAGATCAGAATCTGAAGTATTAAAAGTTGAGATTTTATGATGTTAATCTCTTATGAATAGAAATTGAAGGATTCGAAGAAAGGATTTTTTTATGATTTTGTTGTTGTATAAAGGGAAAACATAGCTAAATTTCGAAAAAGGTGAGATCTGATGATGTAAACTTCATACGATCAGAAATTGAAGGATTCAAAGAAGAAATTTACATGAAAGAAATGATCTTAGTTACATGGATTAGGATCCGATGAATTTGAGTTTTCAGAATTGTCAAGTTTCGCGGACATTTATGTGGAACTTTCTCTTTTGTTTGTACGGGTAATTCACGGGTTAGCGTAGGCGGTTATTTAAGTCGTGATTTTTCAAAACAATTTTCGTAAAAAAAATTGCTGACTTGGATTTGATTGGTCATTTACACGGCATGAATTCACTATTCATTTATTGCTTTTTCCCCCCATTAAGAAATTAGTTGATGTGTTGTTTATATCTGAATTAGGTTAATATTTCCTGCAAAGAATTTTGTTTCGAAACAATTGATAAAAAAAATTTATCATAGTTCTGAAGCAAACAGATACGCCTATGACACTCCCTCAATAAAAGAAGAATTTGCTAGACATTGGAAGCTTTATGAAAGTTTGTTATATCCGTATGAACGGGACCGTACACCAAAATTTTTAGCTGTGTGCCTTCTCCTAATCAAAGGGGCAAATAAAAAATCTGCTTACAAATAAAAGCCCTTTTTCTCTAATAACAACAAACCTATTTCACTTGAATGCTGACGTACACGTATTTTCCGAACTTAAAGAAAAAAACAAACACTTTTCTACTCAGGTTTGGTACCTCCCCCTCCTGTTACCCAAAGAGGAGTGCTCAAGGATACCGGCAGCGGCTAAGACCCCCAAATAAAACAGCGCCAAAATTGATCCCACCATTCTCATTGAAGAACAATATTTATCCTCATTTCTTACCAAGATCCAATGACATGAAAATAATCGGTCAAAACTACACGCTCCCTCGAGCAAAACTAACTCCAAAAAGAACCAAGATCCAAGGAGAAAGGCTAAGTATTTAACTGCTTTCAAGGTTAAAACCATCTAAACAATAGTAAACCAATTAGTCCGACCGCAAAAACCACAGATTAAAGAAAATGCACGGACCAAGCTATATTTACCAGTAACATCTCAAGATACCAGACTAACAACGACCAGGGCAGCATGAACTTAACAAGGTCAACATCTACGTAACCGAGTTATGTTCACAGAGGGGTATTAGTTCTGCGTGAAATGCTAAAATAGATTCCATAAACCAACTTAAGAAATAGTAGGGTGCAATAAAAATAAATTATATGGTAACCAACAGGTTATCTTGATTTCTTGTCAACCAGTTCCCAAACTTGCTAATATGGCCTGTACCTCCAATCCATTCTTGAAGGCCTGCTACTGCTCCCACTTGCTCCATAGCCATACTGCATAGAGAGGATAGAGAGAAAGGACTCATGATTGCCGGAACAACTTTTGAAAACTAAAAGAAATAAAGAGAGTTACTACAGGAGATTCTTAAGAGAAACATAAGATTGTATGCTGCTCTTCTTTTCCTTCTCCCATTTAATGTCGGGAAGCAACTGGTGACCTATGTATAAACTAGGGGTTTTTTGTATATATAGCCCTCAAATCATGTGTATTTACAAAACTACACTCCAAACATTCAACTATTTCTTTTGTTGGGGGGAGATACCTCCAAAGCAACAAATCATCCTCGATAGGCTAATTTGTAACTGCAATGTAAAATCAAGAAAATAGTCGAATTTTCACTCACCCAACAAAAATGACGTTTTCCTTTTTTTTTTACCTCTTTTTTTTTGAGTGGGGTGTGGGCGTATCCCCCCCCCCCCCCCTAGTTGATTTGGTGTAGTCTGTCAATATTGAGATTGGGGGTACTCCGAAGATACGCGATGATTCAAGGGATATATACAAAACTCTAATAAGTAATTCAAGAATACTCACATCATCAAAATCAAGGCTCCCATAGAGCCTCCCATAGTTGCGTATTGGCCCGCCACCATAGCCACCAAATGGCTCTGCTGGAGCATCCATGTAGCCTCCACCTGGACCAGCATCATCGAGTGGAGTTGCAGAGTCTATGGCAACCTGAATCAAGAAACCAATAACAGGAAAAATCAGTTCAATTTAATAGTTAAGTATGGTTTTTATTTTCAACAGGTGGTGGTTGACCACCCCCACCCCCCACCCCAAAAATAAGATCCCTTTCTTTTATACGTTTTAGAAAACTGTTAAGTCCATCAAAAATGCAACCATGCAACTAAATCAAACATCCACCCCAAATATCCCAGACAGCATATTTCCTAGTTCTAAGCGGAGTTATCTCAGACCAAATAAATAATACTTTCTCATACACAAGAGCAACAACTAACGAAGTAAACATGGACCTCTAGGTTACTCGGACACGCCATTTTGGGTGACGTGCCCGTGTCTGGCATGTGTTGAACGTGGATTCAGCACGGACACACCATGGACACGAATAGTTCAAAGCAAAATCCAAGTTCCCCGTTATTAATACTCTAGACTAGTTTCTTTGGTAATATCGGGTTCGCTGAGCCCAAAAACTGAAACCCATTCCTTAAATATTTGAAAAATATTCATTGTGTTAT